GGGCCCGGGGCCCCCGGGGGGGGGGGGCGGGGGGGGGGGGGGGGGGGGCGTACTCATTTGTTGCTTGCCGTAGTCATTTGACCATTGACCACGCGTCCCTTTCGAGACGGAGCAGATGGGGCCGGGGGGGGGGTGAATACCGGGGAAAGGAAGACAACGACACCGCAGCGAGTAATCACTGACCAGACGGGCGATACCAGTGTATCAAAGAAGCGTAAGGTATCCAATCAGAGACACATCGATTGACGCGGTCAACGTTTTTGCCACTCGTCTCAAGGACTGCCAAAGCACCAAAGATGCTTGGTCCAACTGTAAAGCACAAAGGTTCAGCACGCGAGCAACCCAAACTCCTGAGATACAAATACCGGAAATACTACAAACGTGGCATCAGGCAGGGAGACGCACTCTTCAACTGGCCGTGACACCCTCAAACCTTTTTGTCTCCGGGCTTGATGTCGATAACCTCCCCGCTCACGTACTTGACGCAAGGGTTGGCCATTCTGATGGGCTCCGTGATGCTCCGCACGTCCACGGTGCCGACGGACGCCGCGGCGAGCATGGGCGTGAAGACGAAGTAGTTGCGCGGCGACACGTAGATCACCTCGTACTTGTCGCTGTCAATCACCTGAATCGAGCAGTGGAAGCAGGGGCAAGCGAGAAAAACACTTTGCTGTTTGGCGCGTAAGTCACCTCGTACTAGTCGCTATCGGTCACCTCGATCGAACAAGGAGGAGGTGGAAACAGGAGGAGGCGCGGCAACGGTTTTCTGTTCCGGAAGTAGCAAGCAGACATGGCCCATCCAGCGCGTTGGCACCAAACAACTGTGTGATACGTTGGCCACCATCAGACCGCGCAGAGCGGCAAAGGAAAAAGTACCCCTGTACATTTTTTCGCGAGGGTGCATGTGACAGTAAAGCCTCGTTCCTCGCTAAACCTTATTACTCGTCGTCTTCCATTCCAACACAACATATTCAAGGAGATCACTCTTATCCACACCCGCAGAGACCTTCGTTACCAACTTGTTAAAGCTTCGGGCTATCAACCGCAAAAAGCCACCGCCCTCACCCTCCCTCCGCACCTTGCTGATGGCGTGTCCGCCCCAGCCCGTCCCTAGGACCACGATCCTCTCTTTTTTCGTCGCCGTTAGCGGAGGTGCGTCTTCCCCGTCCTGCAGGGGGAGGTTCATCCTGGCGGCGGGCTTGAAGGCTCGGGTCGCGTGCATGAAGACGTCCTCGGCGGTGTCGATAGCCCGGTCGGCGAACGCCAGCACGTCTTCGGGGCTAACCTGTGCGTGGATTTTGTGGCCGGTTCATTTCTTGCTCAACATCGCCCATTTTTTAGCCGCTGAGAGACGTGAGTCCATAGAGTACGGGGGCGTGTGATTGTGCGGTCGTCAAACTACATTTGTGGTCTTAAAACCAGCTGAGTGTGCGAGCCGGCTGGCCAATGGTAGCGATCGGTCTTGCAGACGGACAAACAAGGAGGAAACATTTCCAGGCCGTGGGCACACGTTCTGTATCTCTGACGTGCATCAATCGTTCGACCAATGAAAATACGTCGGTCTTTTGCCGGGATAAAAAAATGCGCGCGAGTGTGCGCGTGCTTCAAAAACTAGCATCGACCGTGGTAAATGGTCTGACCAATGACAGACGTCAGCCTTATACCGGGACCAATAGATGCGATTTTATGCTCCAGTCCGCCGATTCCCTCGGTATGCCAAGTGCGTGTACGTTCAACTACAGCATCGCCCGGCCAGCCGGCTGGCCAATGGAAATACGCCAGTGCGAGCTAGCAACAATTACGGCCTCCAAAGGGGGACAAGATCCTATGCCACTCCCAGAATATGTCATGGCCAGCGTTGTGCTTTTCTCTTGAGTCCGCACCGACCGCGGTAACGGGTGGCCACCGAAAAAATGTCAGTCTCAGCGTGGGTAGAGATGCCAAAGCCGGCGATCTCTACTCCGCTGGGTATGTGTGATTTTTGTGCGGGCTTCCGACTCATCCGGGGCCCGGGCTACACGTTCCGGCGCATGCTTGACACACTTCGCCGGAGATACACAAGAAGAACGAAAATACCAGGTACATGTGCTAATTTTCTCCTCTTTCTCCATCGTTCCTGCTGCTGCGTGTGGCTTTCGGGCTACTGTTTCGGTTCTGAAGGCACAATCTGTAGTCCGGACATGCATGTTTGAGGGGCAGCGAGTTTGAGTCATGCATGAGGACACCAAATATTGACGTAGTTTATAGCTCTGGCTCCTCAAGCAAAGTGCATGTGTGTGCCGTCCCGTATATTCGACACGTCAATATTCTTGCCTTCCGGAATACGCTTTGCACCCTTTGCCCGGGATCACATAAGGGGAAGTGTGGAAAACCTTTTCCTAATCGATATCGCATACACACGGATTCATCGTTGTGGTACGCACTAGAAATGGGGCTAAAAACAAAGTGTGTGGTGCTGAGGGGCCTTTATTTAGTTGTGTATTGGGTTTTTCATTTTGCCAAAACAATACCTCCTGGACGTTGTACCACTGTAGGAATATTGCTTGAGTGTTGTACCCAGACCACAAATAACGACCTAAATGAGAGGAGAACCTCTCCAAATTGCCTTACACGAACAGCACTCTGGTGTTTGCTGTTCAATGATTGGGCCGGAGAAAGAAAAACAATGATACAATCGTGTTCCATCGCACGTGTTTCCTCCGCACATGTAGAGTCTTAGTCTCTGCCCGCGTTTGAGGTTTACGCCTGACTCGGTACCGCATGGTACTTTTTCTTCACCCAGTTTCCTTTCCATGCACCAAAGAAAAAGAGAGGTAGGAGCGAAAGAGTTAATATTACACTGAACGATAGGAGACAACTATCAAACGTCATCATGCGTCACACCCGTGAGTAGCCTGTGGTATTATATAGTCAAACCACGTGTGTACTGTTCCACGTATGCGTCAGAAAAAAGCACTCATTGCAAATCTAAGATGGAGATGGATTTGTTGCGTACAGCAGTGTCTTGAATATCCATGGACTCAACGGGCACGACGAAGAAATGCGGCGTTTTTGCCCTGCTTCTTCTAGCCGAGACGGTCTGGTGCACGCAGGTGGCTGTTCGTGCCCTAGAGGAGGCTACGCAGATACAGATGCGGATGACTCAACAGCAGAGAGCCAGCGCAATTTCCCGTTTGGGTCTTCTCGATCTTTTCACAGCGTGTAGCAGCAGCCGGTCAAGATCGAAAAGACCGAAACCAATATACCAAAGCTGCGCCATTGATACCCCCGTCTCCCCCCTTCTTCTGGACAGAGGTTAAGAATTAACCGCGCGTCTTTCCTTCCGAAAGCAGACGCCAACAGGAGCGGCGTACATCAGATAAGCACACCAGCCGGGTGACGCCGCCGTCTGCGCAACAATCAATTTTCATGCGCTGGCATGATTTTTGACCTTTGCGCACTCTCTTCTCTGTCTATAGTACAGTAACTCGGAGGACGAGAGGGACGTTGGGATTCGCACCTTCAGCTTCCACATGATGTCCTGCTCTTCTTTGGCCTTCGCCCCAAGCACCGGGAGGAACCCAGCCGCCGCTGCCTTCCGGCCAGCTAGTTCGATGACGCTAAGCAGCTCCTCGTCGGCGACACGACCTTCGCCAAACTCGGGCTCCTTGGGCTTCGGGGGTGTTTGCACCGACATCTTCAGCCCCCCTCGCCCCACCCCCCTCCTGCTACGGCTGTGCATCTTCCCTGGTGCGTGGACAGGGGACGAAGTTGTTGCTGCTATTCTCGAGGAAGTCAATACGGCAGGAACAAACGCTTGTCCTGCGTGGAGAGCAAGAGCAACTGCCAGCAACATTGCCAGTGGGCAGCCACTGTTGCTGTTGGGGAATCGCATTGTGTTTCCTCCCCCGGCTATCTATGTGGGTTTCAATGCCCCAAGTTGTGACCCAACGCCTGCAGCCGACGTCGACGTGCGTTGAGGGGGCGGCAGTGGGCGGTAGACTTGTGATGACTCACACCTATGGACAAGACCGCGGGCTGCGGGATCATCCGTAGATGCCAGCAACGATGTTCGATCCCTATGATGTGGAGGCATGTTGGTTCCAAAACCGTCAATAATTCCGCCGCCTCTTGGGCGGCGGCGACGGCGGAGCAGGAGGGGGTACGCAGGGAGGTGAGAGAGAGGGAGAGAGGGAGAAGATATTTTCTTTCTTTAGTCTATATGTATGCCTCTCTAGTCGAGGCTTAGTTCGCTTCTCCTTCTTCCTCGACAAGGCGCCAGCGAGTCGCACGAACGAAAGGAACAGGCATGTACGGCGCCGCCAGGAGAGACAGCTCGAGCAGTGCCGGTGCCGGCATCGGTGGCGGTAGCTCTACGTTGAAGGTCTGCCCTTTGCTGCTGACTTACATGTAGAGCTTTGATGGACGTTAGCAGAGGATCCTTCTGTTTGTCATCCCTCAGTGTCCTCTCTCCGTTACAAGTAGGCGTTGGTGAGGCAATATATGGTATCTATGTATATATGCGGGGTATGTAGGTATCCCTATACCTCCTCGTGGCCAGGATGCCGTCGACTACACACCTTGTTGCCGATGGCACTTACGCGCTACTAATCTCGTAATGTTGCCTATTTTGCACGTACGTCAGCTTGAATACAAGGAATAGTCTAGTGGTGTTGGATTCGTCACCCAAAAGCAAGGGATCAGCAGTCAACAAATCTACGAGCCGAATGCTGTACAATAAATAGTGCGATACCGACTGCGGGCACCACCATCGTACACCGCTCGAGACTACAGAATAGTTCAAGCTGTAGACTGGAAGGGTGGCCAACGGCGTCGCGCAGATCCCAAACGTTCTAGTCTTCGTGTATACAACAGCCACTAACCGCACGTATGCTTTACGGCTTCCCAGACGGACTACAAAAGCGTCATCAACTACTACCTGAGGGAAGGGCTGTATCAACATGCCGCTGATGAGGCCAGTGAGCAGATACAGCGCCGGGGGAACGACACGTATCTCCTCTACTGGGAAGGTGGAACCTAAGCTTGCTGATAGTCTAGTCTAGACCGCATGCATTGGGCTGCTCTGCTTTGGGGTCGAGTTTTCGCCAACTTCAAGACCTACGTTCATTGCGTGTACGATTGAATATTCGATACTTGCTGTACTGCTGTAGTTTCAATGAGCGTGTGTCGCCCAATAATGTCTGTATTAGAGTATCAGAATACACGTGTTCCGTGCATTCGACATTGTCAGAGAAAACAGTTGGGATTCACGCGTCAAAGTGTACAATATAGTAATAGCTAGCCTTCAGAGTTAAATATTGGGTTCGAATTCAGCAGCAGTTCCGCAGACGAGACCAATGACATATCCTCAACGGAAATACAACGGGCAAGACACTCGTCCTTAGCGTATCTTGCACGGCCAAGGGTTAGTACGAAAAGGAAAGGGCACGGAATGCGGCAAGAGCACGCTGTTCTTGGTGGGGTACTGGGTTCGATACAAACAAAGCACCCACACAAGATAACACCCCCCATACACAATACAACACCCGGCGGAAATATTCACACGTTCCCGAACATCGAAAGACTGCCAGATAAATGAAACGCGGCGCATACCACCTCCCCACCACCACCCCCACATTCGGTAGAAATATGTGCAGAGTGTGATTCACCCCCACCCCTTGTCGTTTTGAAACCAGCATTCGCGTTGGGCATGGAGGGCTTAATACCTGAGGCGATTCGAAAAATGGAGAACCTGCGGTCCAAGCACGATGTCGAACTCGGCGTAGCCATGGCGTTGCTCTACTTCCACGGCAAGGCAAAGATGGTGGACAGGTAGACCTTCGTGACACCGTGGGACGTTTTCCTATTTTCGTTTTGTGGGAGGTGGTCACCCATGTCGGTTTCGATGCTGGCAACCGCTCGTACACGTTTCTTACAGTTGTTGTAGTTGTCGTCGTCGTCGTCGGTTTTGAGTCAGTACTCGTCCCCACCTTTATCCGGCACCCGTTCTTCAGAACCCATCCTCGAAGGCGAAGAAGCGAATGGCGTGGCAATACAAACAATATACAGACACCCGGGGTAGTTCCCAACCTTTGCAGAGAGGCTATAGCTCAAACTATTCGCCAACAAAATAATCAAGCAGCAAAGAGAAAATCGCTCAAGAAAAATTGCGTAGAATGAACATACGAAAGGAGAGCCTCTACTCCATTGACTGGAAAGCTGAACAACAATCTACATACGATGCGGTAGGAAAAGCAATCTCAACACCACTATTCGAAGTAATACTTTCCGAAAGAATCAGCCGTGCACTATGCAGACTACTACACAGAATCGAGCGGATACCACCGAAAAACAGAACAGAGCCAACCAAGGGAATCTCGAGGCGAGTAACCAGGTCAGGTCCGTTCTTTACGGGCGAACAAACCGTGGAAGAACGGTTGCATGACAGAGAAATTATGCGCTCGCTCTACACCACTAAGGGGATACGTCCAAAGATAAGGCGTGCAGGGGAGATTGTCTGACGTCTGCTGATGAATTCTGGGCTTATTGGGCGTGCAGGACTTCCTGGGATCTGCTGAAGTCCTTTCGCAGCACATTCGTGTGACGCCGTTGAGAATCAGCGCCGTTGTTGACATATAGGATAATGTATAGCAGCAATGACAACCCTTGCAGTCGGCATCAAGGTCCGCCAGGAAAACTCCGTATTTCCAGCACTTCCGTTCGCAAGGACGAGAATTTCTCTCTCAGCCATGTGATCAACTCGAACAATACTGATGGATTTCTCACACGCAGGGAGGCCGTGGAGACTCTTACCGCGACTCTCACGATCACCGAGGACATGGCAAGCGATGGAGGCGTGCTTACAGCAGCGCGGTTCCAATGGCTCAAAGGTGAAGGAAATAGGGCACGCAGGCGGATACAATGTGTAGCGTACTGAACGACGTAGTCCCTTCCCTTGCCCGGCCGGTTTCAAGTTGTGACGAAGGGTCAACCCTAAGCACAACTGCAGGCCGTTGGTGTTGCGCTTCCTCCACATAGGGTTAGACTCATTCCAACCCTGACATTATTCGAAGAGGATCGAGCTTTTCTGATTGAATGCAATGTTTCCCTCTAGACATGGACACCCTTGGTGTATCTGCCTGCTGCACGGACATGATATCCCTCTTCCACGCGTCGAACTCCTGACATACACGCAGTCCCTCCTCACTCCCATACAGTGGTGTGTGAGTGATGAACGTGATGAATGCTCAACAGGTGAACGATCACGCTGGACGTTACTTCTACGCAGGTGATCTGGAGTACGCTCGGAGGCTCGTAACCAGAGTTCAGGGCGGTGACTTCTCCGCTCAAACGCCGATTCAGCAACAGGCCTTTACGCTACGAGGGTGGATAGACGCCTCCATCAGCCAGCCCCGCAACAAAGAGGAAGCTTCACTTCTCAAGGAAAGCATAAGGCAAGCGGCTGCGGCCTTACCCTACACACGACAAAACGTTGAAGTATCCCTCGGGGGGTGGGAATATGGAATACGCTCACTCACGGGGCCATAGTGAAGGGGAGGGAGGGAAAAAGGGAGGGGAGAGAGGTCAAGTGCTTGGCAAGCACTAATTTGCTGGGTCTGGCCTTCTACCAGTGTGGGCTAGAGATGGCTGGAGGGAAGAGGGAACTAGCCTAAGGTTCGGGAATATCTTTTCCACGGCGGGTTTGCAGTTGCTACGGTCGGCCCGTATGCCCTGCGGCGATGTTGTCTCGTCGTGCTGCTCGAGCGCCTCTTCCTCATTGCACGCACGTTTCCACTTGTGTTGGTGATGCTCTCCGTGCCTCGTGCTGACAATCTACCGTTTGTCACGTTCGCGCAGCTTCTTCGAGGGCAGCGGGCAAATGCGCGACCTCGACACAATAATGGGGAAAGCTCGATACTTCGGTGAGAAAACTAAACTTCTATGAGGGGTGTATGGTGCCAATCGTTTACGAAATCTGTACATACAACATCGACTAGAGGTAAGATCCAAATCGGCACTCGTGGCTCATGGGGCTGTTTACAATTTCTTTCTGAAGGTTAGCAGTGACACCCGGCCGGGAAAAAAACACCTATAGAGGTGGAAGCTACCACCACAGCGCTTCACGGCGAAAACCTATTTTCGTTCCAATAATACGGAGCTTTTTCAGGACCGACCTAGTCCACATAGATAAAATTGATGTTCGTCGCAAACTCAGTCATCATTGCTGAAGGAAAGGAGCGAGAGCCGCGAAGAGAGAAAGAGAGAGAGAAAGGGAAACACGCGGTCACATGTTTCTCCGCAATGTTCGTCGTTGTTTTTGAAGTCAGCAGCGATACTAACGTATGGATTCCTTGATATCGTACGTTTGGATACGAAATCCGCCGCCCACCGCACAGCGACTCGTCTAGATGGGGTGGACACAGCCGCCGACCACCTGAGCCACGCCATCGCTCTCGAACCCCGCTTTTGGCCTGCGCTAGTAGAAAAGGCCAGGCTTTTGGCGGCCGTGGGAGACTGGGAACAGGTACGCAATGCTGCCAAGACGGGGGCTGGAGTGGGTGGTCCAATAATATTCAACGTGAAGCGACAAAGTTCGACTCATGGATGTGTACCAGACCCGCCCCCGCAATGTCACTCCGTATCGCAAAAGTTTCTCACGCAGTTAGCAATCAACACCTCCTCCGGCACGATAGAATGTCGTGTAGCAGATGATGTTCGTGTCCGCCGGCGATTCATCACATAGCCGACACGATGACGTTTTCCCCAATGATGCCCGCCTCAAATCTCTCCTCCACCCATTTCGCCCACGTCGAACGAGGTCAGGCTGAGGACGCGATTTCGAGGGTGCTGGCAATGGACGACGACAACCTGCCGGCGCTCATGTTGCATGCCCTCCAAGGACTCACACAGGCTGGGCAGGCACGTTGGTTGTGGCGGGCGTACTACCTCGAGTGTTGGTGCATTGCACGTCATGTACTTATTTGTAAGACTGTGCTTCTAGAGCGTTTCACTCCAGTGGTTTCAAGAGTGGAGACCGTCCCGGAAGGCGTAGAATGCAACCCTGTGAAAGCTGATTTGCTCGAACCCCTCGAGGGGTATCATCGGCATGAAATGTGCAATGAATCTAGGTATCTGTCGAAAGTTCAAACCAACGCCCTACTGAACACTGCACAACACACAGGGGTCACGCGAGGGGGTCAACCGACTTCGACGACTGAGCGAGTCGCTCTCGAAGCGAGAGCCTCGAAATACCCCCCTCCATGTCAGGGTCTCCAGGCCGTTCGCGAGGGTGTGCGGCAGGGACCCCGTGGCGCTGCAGCTCACCATCGGGATGCTCGAGAGCGTTAGGGTAAGTTGAACGCTGTGGGATGTGTATGCGGCGGGTCGAGAGGACTAACCCTTGCCTTGGCGGAGAGGAAACCGTCTCTTTGGGCTGCCTCACGTTCCCCATGGAAAGGTGTTCGATACATTCTCTTCACCTCCACCCCGATATGTCACGGCACCCATACCAAAGCAGCACTAGTACTTCGGTCTCTTGAAGCATTGTGAACACGGCTGTTTTTCCACCATCGACGTTGTCGGGCGTGCTCCACCACCCTCGCTCTCCGTTCAGAATGAGGATGTTGACTTGCTGGTGGAGCTGGGTTACCAGCTGTCTCTGTCGGGGGCGTTCGACTCTGCAGTGGAGGCGTATCAGGCTGGGGCTAGGGCGAACGAAGGCGACGTCCGGGCCATGACAGGCGTCGTCTACTGTCAGGTAAGGCAACAAGGACCGACCCCTCGTTACTGCAGAACATGTGAATGTATCACAGCGGCTGAGCGAGAAGCCAGCGCTGACTGATAGCGGCCACAGCTTTCGGTGCATGTAAGGGGACCAGGAAAAGAGAGGAGATTTGGAGGCGGGCTTCGCAGTGTGGTCTCCTTTCTTTCAGAAAATCATGTTGGTTTTGGTCCAGTTGACTCTGTGGCGCGAGCACCCTACCACCCACATCTCGAAGAACGGACGCCTGCCTTGCGTGAGAGTCACAGAAATGTCGATAGCATGCTCGCCGCAGGTGGTCGTGGAGGTGGAATACTCCAGCAAATGCAACGACAACGGAAAGGGGGCGTGTCAACGGCAAACCACTTTACCTGTGTGTCTTATGGAAGCCCCTCACCCACCTACGTCTTAGGTTCAAGACGGCGACTTAGAAGACGCAGCCCAGCAGCTGGAGTTCTTGACCGTGATGCAGGTAGGAGAACAGGGTGCAACACCAAGGAGGAACTGGGTGGAGAGGGGCCGCGAGGGGAAGGAGGTCTTAGTCCGCACACAGCGTTTACCGTGAATTTGGGTGTGGAGATAGTGGGGGTACGCTCATGCCGAGAGAGAGAGAGAGAGAGAGAGAGAGTGAGAGAGAAAGAGAGTGAGAGAGAAAGAGAGTGAGAGAGAAAGAGAGTGAGAGAGAAAGAGTGAGAGAGAAAGAGAGAGAGAGGGAGAGAGAGGGAGTCGAGAAAAAAAATAGAACCGCATCTATTGTTTGGAGTGTCAATCGGGTGTTGCGTTGTCAATGTCGAAAGACAAGAACTTATTGCGGTACCATTCCCTTGTGCTCCACCCTCACGTCATTCGCTGATACCAGGACTCAATTGGGTCTTCTGCGGAGATCAGTCTCGTTCGCGCCATGCTCAAGTTTCGGTTGGACAGGAGGTGAGGTCTTGGAAAAGAGATAATGGGTCGTCCACATGAATTCTGACGATTCAGACAGTGATGGCCAGACACCTCATCTTCATGACAACGCCCGCATCTAGAAGATAATATTGTAAACTCTAACCTGTGGGGCCTGGTAGAGATACAGGATGGGGAAGTTCGTTCTGTCTTGCGTCAGCGCCGTCCCCGCGAACACATACCCTCCAAATCTTCGGACATACTGACTGTGTCCAAACCCGCACATCCTGGCGCAGGATGGACCAACACCTGCGATACCTCGATGAGTGCGCGGAGTTGCAGGAGAGCAAAGGCAAAAACGCGGGTAGACCAGGGGCGCCAAGCGACCCGTTGGAGCGAATCTGTCTCCTGAACCCGGACATGATGCTTGAAATAGCAAAGGTGAGGGGTTAGAAAGGTGGGGGGGACATCCTCTCCCAGAACGGGTGAGCCAAGAGTTCCTAGCCATGACGAACGAAACGTTTTAGAGAACTTGCCCCAATCAATAAAAGAATCGGAGATTTTAGGGGCAGCACTATCAGAACGCTTGGCAATAGGATAGACCACCACTGAATATTCACCGTCATGCCAATCCAGAAACACCCTGCTCGTGCAGTACGGTGGAGGTATTTAGCCTGGCGTGCGGAGCCTGTCTCGCGATAAAATCAAGCACGAAGGGCAAAATAGCCAGCTGTTGCCGGCACTACAATAAGCGGCTCAAGATTACAAGTATATCACTCCCCACCAACTGAAACGATCGGGGCTGCACCATTCTCCTAGGAATACCTTCTTCACGCCGGCAGCGAGGTTGGCGGGGGGGGGTTGACGGGCAGCAAGGGTCGAAGAAACAGCACCCCCGGGTCGTCATCGGCCGTCGGCCGCTCCCAACGATCGACTCCAGGTGTGGCCCCTGGTCGAGAGTACAGAGGTACCGTGCAATGTTTCCTCTCGGCCCAAACGGTACGACAATAGTGGTACCCACATCGGTTCGGCCGACAAAGAGCGTTTTGTGGTATAGTGCAGTACTCAGAAGATCTCTCTAGAAATGATGCACATTCTTGTTAGTCATATTCTTGTGTTTCGGCCCGAATATTTCGATCGGTGTTTAAACCAGTACCTTCCTCCCCTCGAAAATGACGTTTTTCGACACTGCGAAGTTTCCAAAGGACTCGCATTGCTCCGCGAAGTGGTGGGCCTGGTACCGGGGCACTTGGGTGCCCGACTGCTAATGGCGAGGGCTTCCTACTCTACTGGCCAGGCAGATTTGGCCCAACAGACACTGCAGGTGATGGAGACATGACAACGACCAGAGCAATGCCTTGAAACGAATATCTTGGAGCCCTTGGAAAGTGCGTTTTTGGCCTCAATGTTTGGAATCCAACGATTTAGAAGTCGTCCAAACTTGTAGAGGAATTTGTTCCCAATAGTTGTAAGCAACCCAGGGCGCAAGCATTGGGAGCGGTAGCGTCCAAAGCGTTTGTAGTTTTCGGATTTTGCAGATTTTGCTGCTGACTCAAATCATCTCGCCAGGTTTCGAAAGATGCTAACCTTGTTGAACAGAAGAATAATGACTGCCGCAAGGTCGCGTCCAGTATGCCCTTCCGCGAGGAACAGTTCTGCTAGACGGCAGGCGAAGACGAATCGTGCAATAGGCTCATGCAACCGACGTCACAGAAATCTTGCCAACATACTCCCGGTTTTGTGAGGCATGTACCCGTTTCGTCCGTAAGCCATCGTAGAGAAGGTATCCTCCCAGGGTGACACTCGCCAAACTTCACCCTCAAACTTCTCCCCAAGCTCTCCTTTCTTCACACGCAATGCCATCATCTGCAGATTCATGGCGTCGTGAAATCAACACCCTCTTTGTTCCCGCTGTCTGCATACGGGTCTTCCTCCAAATTATCCCCCATCTTCCCTGCGGTGCAACTTCTCTGAAAACGTCCGGCCTAGGAACTGCTGGCCATGGATCCGGCCTTGGAGGACGCACACCTTCTCGCGGCACAGGTATGAAGCATAGGTGTCCCTACCTAGGTATGACACCCGTGAAAGCTAGAGCACGGTGTGTAGGTCTTGGGAACTCCCCGGCTGGGTATAACCCAGGGTGGAAACAGCGGTGACACGTCAGACTACCCTGCCGCTGTCCCGGGAGCTCGGACCCCTTGGTTTTCCTGCCTGGCACGCTGAGGGCGCTATTCCGAATGCGTCGTCGCGAATATGCAATAAATGCGAAGGCAGTCTCAGAGCCTTGGGCCGTGGCAAGGTGTGGATTTCTTTCCCGTAGGGGTTTCGCGATGTATGGGTCGACAATATGGGTAGGCGACGGTGGTTCTTGACCATTTCAAAACCGAAACCGGAGTGTTTGGAAGGAATCAGAAAGAGAACAAACGTCTCCTGCCCGACAGGTGCACCTAGCGCAAGGGAGGTGCCGTGCCGCATCGAACAGCCTCGAGCAGGCACTCAGCTTCAGCTTCCGGGTCGGCAAGAATCCGGTGTTTTTGCTCGTGAAGGCATCGGTGCAAAAGGAAGAAGGGAAGCTCGAAGAAGCTCTGGAAACCTTTGAGGAGGCCTTGAGGTGAAAGGACTGGGTTGCACGAGGAGGAGAGCGGGGTGCACCGATGTCTGCTCGTGAAGGAGAGCGATTTTGATTTTTTTTCACTATTTACTCGACACGGCAGTGCGTGCATGGAATGCTATTCTCGTGTCCTGTGTAGTCGTCCACGATAACCATAGAGAGGTGTGACTGCGGTGACCTGGTCTCACGTATCACAGGATGACGATGCCTACCATACCAGCAGCCACACCAAACAACCCTGAAGCCACCGCAACAGAGTTCAAACATTCCCAGGAATATATACGTTGCTTCTACGCTACCACCTACGCGAAAACGGTGCACCAGGCTACCGTCGGTCCGCGGGAGTACCCTAGGAGGATCCGCGCCTGCTACGAGGGGCGGGACTGTAGGGACGGCATTATCATCGTTCACCGACGGTGAAAAGGCGGCTATTTTTTCCGGCGCTGTTGGCGTGCTCGCTAAGGTGAGGTTGCAACAGCGCGTTCCCGTCCCTCGTTGAGAGTGGCGTTCCCCCTTCACTTTTCGATACGAATTTCATATATATTTTGTGAAGGACCACTTCCCTTTGGCGGCTTCGCCTTGCAGCCTAAACCCGCTCTACGCGGCAAGTTATGGTAATATGGTTTACCTTCCTCTGTCGATGCAACGTTACCGCACAGCTCAAGAGGACGGCCGAAGCAACAGAGCTGGTTAAGGAAGCCATGGCCATGTTCAGGGGCACGTGAGTAGCGAAAGCCAACCTGGCGCCTTTGACCGAGGCCAGCTGAATGTTTGTCAAAACGAAAAGGGGCCCCTGCGCAAAACACAACGCGTTAACACGTCTCTATTTACTCGCACCTCCTCCGACCTCTTGCCCTTTCCTTCATAATTGGATGTATTGCCAATGTGCAACGAACAATGAATGGTCTGTCACGCCTCGTTGAGCCTCCACAACCCATACGCGGGCTTGTTTATCTTCCTTAGCGGCCCAACCCTATTATTCCATACATGCCTCCGTTGCAACCCCGGTTACAGCCCTGACGAGGTTCAGATAGTGGTGGCCAACAGCGAGTTGGCGATAGAGCGGGGAGATTTCGAAAAGGCCTTGAAAATCCTGGGAGACGTCCCGCCAGAATCGCCAGCCTATGTCAGGGTTCAGGTATAAGCATGCCTCGTGCGCGATGTCTGAAGACTCGCTATTTAGCACTCGTGTGCGTCAAGACGACTAGTAATCAGGACTGAAGTAATACCTTCGCTCATTTTTATGGTTGCCACGCCCTTCGGTAGATCAAGGAGGCGTTGTCAACTGTCCGTAAGCAGAAAAACAAACGAGCGCCACGAGCAGGCTTCGACAAGAGCATTCATGCGCCGTGTTGGACGAGATCACTGTAGGACTTTCTGGCTCCACCTATGCGCCTGCTTTTGGCGGTTTATGTGCCCTTCGTGGGCGCACGTCTCAACCACGTGGCGACAATGTTATCTCTTCAGTGTACAGCCCGTCAACTTTCTCTCTCTCTCTCTCTCTCTCTCTCTCTCTCTCTCTCTCTCTCTCTCTCTCTCTCTCTCTTCCTCTACCTCTCTCGCTCGTGTGGTCTCCCTGGCAAAGTCTGTTAAAGCGACGATATACTTGACCCTGAGGAGAGACAAGCGGGCGTACGCACAGTGCTACCGCGACATGGCCCAAGCGAACCCATCCGCAGCCACCTACGTCCTTCTTGGCGAGGCTTACATGCGAATCCAGATGCCTGAGGTCAGTGCACGGCGTTTGTCACGGTACTCTTGGCCAAGGCCGTAAGCATGATATAGAACAGCATGAAGACACACCCAATCAACGTTCACCACCGGTTGTGGGTGGTTTGTGTACGTGATGGACAACATTCTCGGTGGCCACGCCGCCAAACTCAGAGGAATATGTTGAACGGTCATGTAGTTTTAGTTTCGCGCTACCAACTACAATTACGACGTGCTCACACCCACGGTGAGGGCCACCACCGAGTGTGTGGACAAGACCATGCAAAGTGCCTTGTTGGTCCTCATTCTCATCCACCAGATCGTGTTTCCGTCGGCGAATGCCTCAGGCGGCCATTGAGTCCTTCGAGATCGCCTTGGATACAGATCCCTCAGACTCCTCGCTAGCGGGTCAGGTGCGTTTTCGGCGACATTGATGCACGTGCACTTGGCCTTGTAGTCCGTGGCATCGACCTGCGTGACGGTTCAAACACTGCAGGTTTAGCATCTGTTCGTACCGACATGTGGCAGTTGTTCCGATCATGTTGAACGCTTACGGAAGCCAGCCTAAGCTAGAATATGTCAACCCCACCCGCAGCTGTCGCCAGGGCGGCGATGAGATGGTTGACCGTTACAGCATCTTGCCTACAGTTTCCTTGCGTAGGACGCGTATTGTACACGTGGTGGGTTTGGAGGTAGAAAAAATATTTCAAACAACGAATCCCAAAGCCTCCGGAAACGGGGTTTGTGTGGTATAAGCCGAAATGTTGTACAGAGAAAGAAACAGGTGATGCATGCCAAGAAGCGGCGGAGAGCACCCAAGCAATGTGCTGTATATAACCTTTTCTGAGACTCCATTAGCCCCATCTCGAACCCTAAAGTCCTGATCACTTCGCCTGTATTAGATTGGCAGGGCACTGGTCAGCACCCACGACTATCGGAGGGCGGTAGAATACTACAGGAAGGCTCTGCGGGGACAGCCGAGGAGCGTCCCTTTGCGCCACGACCTCGCTAGACTGTGCCTCAAGCTCGGCCGCTACGAGGACGCGTCCGGAGTCCTGCAGCAGGTACAATCATTTATTGTGCCTTTAACGGGTTGCGATCTGCGGGCAAATATTCCCACAGTTTAGTTGGGAGCTGAGGGGGTTCACAGGTTGGTGTCGTGTCGAGATATCAACCCCCGTGTCCATGCCGACTCCAGACATCCGTACATACTCTGGTGCCAGTCGATGATAAGAACCTATTCACACCAGAATCTGTTCCCTTTTCTGTCATGCCTTCCTTATCTCGAAAGGCTTTGATCGAAGACTCATCGGACGTAGAAGACATGAAGGCGGACGTGCAAACGCTGCTGATCCTGGCCGAGGTTCACGAGGCCACCGGTGACGATAACCAGGCAGACTCCAGCTTGGCCCGCGCAAGCGAGCTACAGGGAACGATTCTCGCTAGGTCCAGGTAAAAACCGGGCGTGTCGCCAGAGGGGCGAGGGATAGCGATGGAGGAGCAGTCCATGACGGTGTTCCTTGGCCAAAGCTGACGGTGCACGCGAGGGCGATAGAAAAACAACCGGGTCTTGGTGTACGGCGGAGTCTTCTATTCTTCGGTCATTCTTCACCTGACCGGATGTATCTCACTCAGACGTCAAGTACGAATCGTACATCCGAGCAGCACGAGTCTGCGCGAGTGTCATCCCACTCAGACGTTGTAGCACGCGTCATCATACCATTGCTCCCTGGCGGGAACTCTCTGAAACGATTCGCTTTGGGGCGTTTTCCGTCGCCGCAACAATAGGTCTGGTAGCCCAGAAGTGGTTCGAGAAGAGACCGCGCTCCAGTCCAAGATAATGAGGGAGCAAGCGCGTTTCAGCCTTGAAGTACGGAAGGACGACCAGAGGTACGTGTGAAAACCCATCACAAGTCTACCGGTTGGTCGTGTACGAAATTGTTGCGAACGTAGCGAATGGAAATTGCTGCTGATGCGAAAAAAGTGATAGAAGTACCTTGTCGTCGAGCTGCAGTTCTCCGGTGAGATAAACGAGAACCTCAAATATTTCGATTGGAATGAGAAGAATGGATTCGCCCACAGCGGCGAACGCGGTATGGAAAACGATTGAGCGATCAGCATCGCTAAAACGTACTTCAACTAAATTGATGTTTCCCGCAGAGCGATCGAGCGATTCAGTGCGAGTCTAAAAGAAGACGAGGGGAACGAGGAGAGCATGGTTGGCCTGGCCAAGACACATCTCCGAAGGTCAGCAAAACGCCCACGTTCTACCTTTACTCTCTCAGTTTGTGCCCAATCATCCCGCGAGACACATCTAACCATAGCGACATACAGCCATGAACCGTCTTGTGGTGTCCAGACTAGGAATTCCCTCTCTCGAACACGAGCACGCCCGCTTCGATTGACACCGAGGAAACGGTCACAGTTAGCTGCACCTTCGCATGGCTTGGTGGTTACCGTCTCGTTCGACAGAAATGAGCTGGACCAGTGTGAGCGGCTATGCGAGACAGCGCTCAGGGTGTCTGACGGGAGCGGGGAAGCTGCGTCCATGATCCTAGGAGAGGTGCGGGAACGTAACAGCGCAAAGGAGGAGCGGCAAGGCACATGTTTCAAAGACCGGCGTCAAGGGTATCGCTGACCAAGCACATTATGTTGCCGAGCCATTCTATGTATTGGCAGCTAGGGACCAATAGTTCCTCAACGAAATGCCGAGAATGGGCGGGGAAAGCACAAGCGAAGTGTTCGGTCTTGTTCGCAAGTCAAGCATGAAAACAGGGAATCTCCGCACAACAATGCTTCTTTCAACGCATATCCCCGTGGTACGGCGGTTCGGGCAGCTGTTGCTTACCCAGCAAAAGAAACATTGCACTCAACGCATTATTGGACAACACTCGGTGGAGACGAAGTATCCACCATTCCATACCCCCCACCCACCCCCCCGCACCCTTAAACATTCGTGTGCTTGAAGGTGATGTTCCTCAAGACCGACCACGCGAAGGCAATCCAGTGCTACCGCTCTGTGCTGAAGCAGAAACCGAACAACTACCAGGCTTTGCAGAAACTCATAGGTCTCCTCAGGCGGGCCGGACAGTTGAACGAGGTACTTCAGTCCATTACTGTAGGCTACAAACCGTCGTTGCTTTGGGTAAGGTGGTGTCCAAATTGATCACTGCGGAAGATAGGACCATTAGCAATCGCACCATGTTGTAATCACCAGACCTGAAGCTCATTTCTTCAATTAAACGTATTTTCACGCAAGGTGCCGGCTCTCCTGGAGCTCGCAAAGGCAGGAGATCCTCGGTCATCGGCGCACGCCGGGCTTAGGTTCTGCAGCGGCCTGTACCATCGCTACACCAACGACATGCACGAGGCCGTTCGCCAGCTTAACCGGGCCCGGCAGGATGGGGAGTGAGTGCATCAGCGTATTGCGGGAAGAGTACAAGCCGAAATTAGAACACCAGTAAAGACAACGCAGAGGCCTCTTCTCTCACAATACCTTTTGTCTACGATCACTCTCTTGCAAGCACGGCCGTGAAAAAACCGACAGCCTTTGCATCGCATTCCACAGCAACCCACACTTAAGCAGACGCTGAACGAATTATTTGAGTTGTCCAAGGCCGTCCGCGCCGCGTTCGTGCGCTCTTCCCCGTTCCAATGAACACATTCCTCACAATAACCGGCTACATGTACCACCACGACCGTAGATGGGGAGCTCAGGCGCTTGAACACCTGATCGAGATCTACATTAGCCCGAACGGAGACCACCTATGGGAGGTGGTCACCTCCCCCCAAGGCGGGGAGGGGTCTGCGGAGTCACTAGGAATAGCCAAATTCTTCCTGTCGGAGCTGCAAAAGATTAGCCGAGGGGACAGCCGAAGCGGCGCAGGGGCAACGGGGGGAACAAACAAGGCAGGCATACGTTTAAGGTACGCGGTATTCGGAGATGTTCTTGATCCCGACACATTGTCTGGAGACTCTTGACACATCCAGCCTTCGGTGTCGTGCGCAGTAGCACGAGTATCGTTTGTCGAAACCAACTGATAACGCGTATTGGGGTGGTCATACCCACCCAAGCGACGGAGACAAGGATGTCAAAAACGATGCAATCGGTTTCTCCTTCTTCTAACCACTCCCGTTGCGCTTGTTTTGGAAGATATCTGGAGAGCGCTGTCAAGATGATGGCGCGTGACAAGGAGAGCGTGGACGCCGCCATGACGGGGTTCATGTCCATGCTGGAGGATGACAAGGAAAATGTACCGGCGCTCCTTGGCATGTCACTCGCCTTCACTCTCGAGGACTCTCCCAACAAGGTCGGGCTAAGAAACAACGCTTCGTTTTATTCAATCGCCGCGTGTTCCACATGTTCTCGAGGACGCACTGATTTCTGCGATGGATTACTGCGGTTGCGATGATGCTCTCTCAATACATCCAAATTGTTTAGTCAGCGGAGGGGTCAATTTTCGCACCTTGGGCGGACGGTATTTGATGCTCGTTGCCGGGACAAAGCTACAGCGGGTTGAACAAGTCACGACAGCTCTTGAACGCACGTCAGCACCCGGCATCCTTCGCGAGCCACAACACAACGCCTTCATCGTGAATCGCACCGCTTGCCACCCCAGGCTCGAAATGCTTTGAAACGTATCGCCAAGATGCCCTACACGCTGGAGAGTGCGGAAGAGTTCGAGCAAGCGTATCTGCATCTCGCGCATCTTTACGTCGACAGGGGAAAATTTGATCTTGCACAGGTGATTGAGGCTTTGGGATCGGTACAGCTCCGGGGCCCGGAATCGAATATCGTTTCGAGTACCTCCGATTTGTTTGACGTTGTGCCATCGACTTACATTCAGCACGTAGCCTGTGACTCGATCCCCTAGTCCGTCTGACAAGGCTTTTTTGCCCGCCCGATGAACAACACTAAACCAGGACCTGTGCCGTCGATCCCTGAGTTACAACAAGTCTTGTTCACAAGCCTGGGAAACCATGGGTCTGGTCATGGAGAAGGAGCAGAGCTACAGGTCAGTACGACCGTCAAGTATCACGAGTGCGGTAGTATTGGGCGTAATGAAGATGTCGACATCGAGGAGATTTGTTTCTGGCCTACGAAGAGGATTGACCGTGGCGCAGTTATCACTTTATGAAGTTACAAGGCAGAACTGTTCGGAGTCGAAACGTATTTTGTTTTTTTTGCATCGTTCACCTCTGCAGGGATGCCGCTGAGTGCTATGAGAAGAGTTGGGAGTTTGGGAACCAGGCTGGCGCGGCTGGTGGCTTTAAGTTGGCCTTCAACTATCTCAAGGCCAAAAGGTACGGTACAAATACATTAAATATGCCGTTCGGATGAATCTAGGGAGTTGGTATCTTCCAGTTTATGTTAAAACTTCGGCAGAATGCGCGGGAGTGCATCACCCTTCTCATGTAATTATGTGGCGCTGTGTGGTAGTGTAGAAGGCACGGGCAGCGTGTAGATAGACTGTCAACTTGGGAACGAATAGGTGCAGCGCCGTCGTGCGATCACGTGCATGCCATGGGATTGTCTTGTTCGAGTCTGTACCGACAGGGCAGACAACCGCCTTTCCGAAACGCTGAGCAACTTCATCTACATGTATGGATGGACGGCGATTAAGTTGATACCTTTCCAGGTGCCCGAACAAAATCGCCTACGACAGTAATGGAACGGCGAACACTGATGTTTCAGTGGCCACATTTTGTTTGGATTACTTCTCTCGTGTGTTGGTCGAGGCATGCTAGCAACCTGCCAGCTATTGCGAACGCTTCCTCCACGAGCAAGGTGACGGCACAACGACTCACCCTTCCCCCGCCTCCCTGCCATGCTCGGGTGCCGTGGTATTCTTGTTTTGGTACCTGTCGTAACTCAGGTTCGTGGAGGCGATCGATGTGTGCAACAAGGTTCTCGCCCAATACCCCGACTACCCCAAGATTCGCGAGGAGATCTTGTCCAAGGCACAAACTATGCTCAGACCGTGACCCGCCAGTGCTTTCTATAGTGTACTTGACAAGCCTGCTTGCAGCCTGGCTCTTCTTGAGATTGATGCGACGCACGAAAAGTCGGGTTTTCCAGACAAACGGAATCTCGGCACGTTTGGTCTTCGCTTGGGGTTTCAAGTCAGGCAATTTGAGGCACTGATTGTTGGTTGGCAACCCCCCGGGCGAAAGCTTGTTCTCTTGGCTAGGAGGCGTTGTAAACACGGGCAAAGTTGCTCTTTCTCTGAAATACAATACATACTCTAGTTTTAGAATCACATACAATATATCTCCCTTCCAAGCGCCTTTCCTGAAGTCGCCGAAAATTACATGCACATCTCCACGAGCCACGTGCATCCGCGTCGCAAGTAGGTGCGCGTTATTCCAGTGACAACGGTCAACCCGCGGGCGTGGGGGGTTGCCAAGACCAATAGGGTGTCAGTGTCGTTTTCTCGTCCTCCGACTTCGAGAGGTCGTCGTTGGCGTCGTTGGCGTTGTCGTTAGTGTCATTGATGGTGCCCGTGAGTTCGATGTTCTCTTCGTCGATGCGACGTCGATACGGAAAGCGGCTCTGACCCCCACAACGTATAGATAGACTTTGTTTCGTGCGATCCGGATGTGGACGAAGCCGTGCAGAGTGGATTGAGCGAAGCTTGACCAACTTGTTGGGATCTGATCCGACCTGGGGGGAGCATGCCGGAAATATGTTTGTTGCAAGGTACCATATATATGTACTACGGTACGCCGTTCGGCAGAAAACGGAGCGGTCTAAATGTGAAGACATCAAATTACACGCCACGACGAAGCCAAAGCGCTACATGTACAATCACCTGCTAAGGGTGACGCAATAGAATACACAACGGGTGATATACGCTTACGCCTGGCGACAATGGAGACCGAGTGACAAAGACAGAAGGCACAGGCAGAGACGGCGGGGGCAGGGGAGGCAGAATCCAGTGAGAACACCCCGCATCATCTTTATCAACTCTCGATGGCGTCCCATCCATCGGCCCCCTCACGGCAGATCTGTCTGTGAGTACCGTCGCAACTGACTACCACACGAGCAACCAAGCAACAAGAGCCAGAGTGAGTGCAATGAAGAGCGAGATGTTGTAGTGCTGACCTGGGTTGCTAATGATGGAATTGGTTGCTGTTGTATGCAGCTTTTGTGATGACGGTTCTGACGAAGCATGCCAACTGCGGCTTTTTTAGCCCGTCGTGCTCGAACTGCTACCGCTACTGCTGCACTCATCTTCCTCAGTAAGGCGAGACACAGCAGCACTAGCACCGGGAACGATGGGTGGGCGCAAAATGCATCACCGTTGTTTGACTGTTTGTGTGTCACTGCTGCACCAGGCAGTGGATTGGAAGGACGCAATAACCCCGCTGACTGAACTTTTGTTATTGCAGCGCAGTACAATGTACTCCGAGTAACTCTGCATTACAGCTGTTGTGCAGAAGTTAGTACTTGTAGTAGAACTCATAGCACTGCTAAGGTAGGAAGTAGAGGCAGCAACTGAGAAGCAGCAGCCAACAGAGCGCAGTGGCATCTCGTTGACGTGCTTGATATTCCGGGACTACCGCGGAATCGGCCGCGTTTTGCGTTTTGCATGCCTTCTGAACGCACTCATGGCGTCTGTGTGTGCCGCCCCCTGTTTCACGGCACCTCGGATTGATTACGCGTGTTGTCACCCGTCTACCACCGTAGCCTGACCCCAGGTTTGTATATAGCCTGAGCCCCAGAATCACTCGAAGAGGGCTGATTCTCTTACCACGCGCCCACTTACTGATTAACTGTACTGCCGCTGGACGTGGTGGCTTGTGCTGCCGCTACGCTCCCTCACCTGCCCGCCATTTGAGTCGGTCCACAAAAATGCAGCTTACTGACTCTCCGAGCGTTGTCCCTAAATTATCCTGTAAATTGAAGGATTCCGCTTATTTCCCGTACAATGCAGTATCCAGCAGAGGCATATCTATGTCATGCTGCATGGGTTTCGGAACCTCCGTACACACACTTCTCGCCGCCCCCATTCCCCTTTACAGCGATGCTTGGATTATTGACGAGGACGAGGACAGCCGCGGTGCGGTCGCTTGCGACTGCTGCGGCAGGACCGGCAGCGGGACGTGATGCCAACCTTGCGGCAAGACGAGGAGGCGTTTTGATGCGGCAGCCGGCGGCGGCGGTGTTACCCTTCGGGAAGAGTGCCGAGAGCAAGAGGATGCACAGCTCGGCATCATCGGTGAGAATGAGGCTGTTCAGACTAACGAATCAGGTTGCACGCCATGCTGAGCAGACACATGCGAAGGCGTGGGTAGACTACACCTGCCACGGTGGCGGTGAGGCCGTGACACCGCCGTTGGACACCCTTAGAATTGTGTGCAACGTCTGACATGTCCATGGCAGCTACACCTATTGTTGTTGATGGCGCTGTAGGAAGGCTGACACAAGAACCACCGGCGTAGGACCATACACAACTGGGGGAAGCGGTAACATTTTGTGGCAGCCTCCCGGTCTAAGCACCAGTTTTGTTCAGAGAACGGTTTGCGGTAGTTCGATCGCTGGCGCCTGGCCTTGTTTTGGCACTACGATTACGAAACATTCTGAGGTCACCAACAAATTCAGCACGCATCAAAGGGCAGAGCCCCACAGTAACACACACAGTCGGAGGTTGTGCTCGCAACACTGTCGCGAAATGGGTGTCTCTAGTAGCTTTGTACGACCCAAAGGCTCGCGACAACCCATTCTGTGTCTCGTCTATTTTCCGACATGTCTCCGGTTGTGGGCATCCTCCCCCCCCCCCCCCTTCCTTATTCAGGGGCTTGAGATGCACGGCACGACAATCTTGTGCGTCCGAAAGAACGGGAAAGTGGTGAGTTTCACGCAGCAAAAAAGAAGGCTCACGCGAAAATTTCGGGGACAATTTGACTGACTGTCAACACCATGTTAACCGGTACAGAATGCACCGCAGAGCTAGCGTGATGTACGAGCGGCGTAGTGTGCAATGCCCTTGTTTTCACGCCGCGCGATACTGACTTGGCCGTATCCCGCGGGGTACCCCGGCTGTGTTTCGTTTGTTCACGTGGAACTGTGGCAGCATAAACATGAGTTGGAGAGGAACGCTATGCTGTGAAATCTCAACGTTGTCAAAGAAAGCGCGCCTGCAGCTTTAGAGCTGTCATGGCACAGCAGTGCCCCTCACAGTATAAGGTTGTGGAGACTATCTTCATCTCGGGCGTGTATGGAATAGGTTTGTAGCCCGTGCTTTCTGCGTTTGCTGCGGTTCCATCGACCAACTCGCGGAATCTCTTGTTCTCGGTAGGTCATGATGGGGGATGGGCAGGTCAGCCAGGGAGACATGGTGGTGAAGCCCAACGCCACCAAGGTCAGAAAGCTGGGGGACGGACGCGTGTTGGCGGGGTACGCCGGGTCGACGGCCGACGCCTTGACGCTCATGGAGCGCCTCGAGGGCAAGCTTGAGGAACACGAAGGTACCCCAGTCCTCCGGTGTTCGTCCAAGGTGCTCACGGGACCCTGAATTTCTCTTGTCTTTCGTTCTTTAGACGACGTCCCCCCCACAGCAGGGACCGGCCTTCGCGAGAAGTTAATTTTGTGAGGAAATGGAACAGGGAGGGGGTACGCAGACCTTATCCCTATCCCTACCCCTACCCCAACCTCCCCAATGGCATCCTTCATCCAACATGTTTACTTTGTCGAAAACCACAGCGAAGGCTACTGCACAGCATTGCCCATACCGGGCTTGTGGATCAGGCTGTATGTTGCCGAGCGTCGAGATAGGAACACTTTGTCCGAGGTACCACAGTTGCATCGGGCGGGCCCAGCCTAAACCTGGGGTGCCGCCGTGTGTTTCCCTCGTGTTTCTAGCTCCCTGGAAGCAGAAAGGGCGAAACAGCCTCAGCAAGCTGATTTGCCGAGAAGAGCCAGCTCGTGTTGATAGACCGTCGGCAACGTGGCGAAGTACATGCGAAACGCAGCGTGCTACAAGTCGGAGCAGCTTGAGGATGTTTATGGTGTTGTGCTTGCCCAAAGTGTTGTGCTTTTATCGCACAGCGCCAAACACCAAGAGCATACCCCCCCCCGATCGTTTGTGGTACACCTGTAGGACAACTCATGAACGCGTGCGTTGCCCTGGCGAAAGACTGGAGGACCGACAAGTACCTCCGCCGACTAGAGGTGAGCAAGACAACCGGCCAGCGTAGACTGTGGGCGTCCTCCGTTCGCTTCCGAGGTTGCGGCCGCCCAGGGCGAACAATCGTCACGCGTTCATATGTTAACACCACAGCGCGTACAGACCGATGGTCCAGACTCCGGATGTAAGCGTGGCCCGACAGCGAGAAGCGAAACAGACGTCACTCGCAACTAAACAGACCAACGTTGGGCACAAAAAAGTAACTACCAAGACCAACGTATGACTTATGTTTTGCTTTGCAATACGAAAGAGAGACTGCAAGTGTCTCGGAAGCTCTGTCGCGCATCCTAAACGTATGCAGGAGTTCTATCCCGTCTTGCCTGTCGTTCCCGAGCCGCCTTCTTCGTCGGGGTTGCCGTTCATGTATCTCTCGTATTGGGCCTGCAGTACGGGCTCGGAGACAAGAAACGTCAAAATCTGCTCGAGGCGCAGTTTCTTGTTTTGTCGCCACTGTCGAGCACAGGTTTTCATTTAGCGTTTGGTATATAGGATCCGCCGCTGAGATGTGTGTCTTCTCCCATTTTTATTTTTTTTTGCGAAAAATTGGGCCCATGTTTCTTCACAAATATACTTGTTGACTGCCGGTCCGTACTGTATACGTTGTGGTGCGATTTCGTTCGCTCTTATACCATGTCACGACTCAGACGATTGCTCCTTGGCGGTCTGAGTGGCCAGCCTTGTCGGGGGAACTCGTCGGTAGTTTGGCTTTGAGCGAGCGAGCTGCCGCGTGCTCGTCTGTGTTTACGCATGGATCATGTTTTGATTTCGGTGTAGTTTGTACTGAGCCGATCAGTTGCTTGTTGTGCGTCTCTTGGCCTGATTTGTTTGTTTTTTTCTCGCTTGGTACGCGTGGCAGGCGGTCGTTCTAGTGGCAGACAGCAAGTTCTCCCTGAAGGTGACGGGATTGGGCGACGTCCTCGCACCAAATGGAGGGGTGATCGGTGAGCTATTAACTTTCAGCACGCGAATTTTTAGGGGGAGTGTAGCTTGGCAGTGCCGTCGATGGCGGCGTGAGCTGTGTTTGGCATGCAAGGCGACTATCGGGAGGAACCGCGAGGTTTTTGTGTGAAGCGCTTCCCCTTGTGAGCGACATCGAAATTCCGCTCTTTTCTTACTCTTTTCGAGTAAGAGGTACACGCGTGACTTGTGCACGCTCACTCGCCGACCCATTGTCCCTGCCTCTCCCACGACTACGACGGAATCATGTTTTTTCAATCCCCACGCACCTTCACTTCTAGAACAGTGTACTACTTTTAGGGGTAGTTGGGTTGTGACCACGAAAGGCGTCCTCGTAAGTTGGGCCAGTAGTAGAAGGTACTGAGCGGAGGCCGGAACGGCTACGTGAAGACCTCAACATCAAAACCCACCCCGCCTCAGTTCATTTACACAGCGGCAGGGACTTGGCCTCTGTCCTACGCAGAGGCGCTCCGAGAGCCGACTGGAGCAAGGCATTTCTCTCCGGCAATGATGTGGCCGCGGCATCGGTCTTAGTAGCAAATATCTCTACAATCAACGCCTCGACCACATCGTTGTAGGAGAGAACTGCTTTGCTCTTGTTGGGCCTCTGAAGCGCTTCTGCAGTCGGCTGGAAGCCACGTTCCTTCCGCTGTGTAAATGAGTTGAATTCCAAAACGCTCTGGAGGAAGTACACGTTTGGAGGGGTTGATTGAAACTCGAGGCGCTATGAAATGCACGATTGGAGCAGTTGTGAACGTCAACGCCGGCACATTTGGCAGTGCGGAGGCTTCAGGAATTATTTTGTCTACCGGCCTGGCATTGATTGATTATTTCTCGCTTGGTTGTGTTGATTCTTTCTGGTTTTCTACATTTCTTTCCTCGTGGATAATTCATAGCGTACCCTCTTCGGGTAGTTGGCCTTCCCGTGGCCACGGAACGTGCGCGCGTCAGTTTCCCCTGTGCGATGCACCCCTGTACGGCGCAGAGATCGGAACGGGCTGTTCTCTTCATTGTGAAAAGGACAACACCGACAAGAGCAACTGTCTTTTTATCGTTGGAAATCATCGAAGGTTTTCGCCTCTCACCGGAGGCAGTTGTTGGCCGAAGCAATGTTTACCTTGCTCGGGGGGCAGCATGCCCTAGCGTGGCTTGGTTGTTCAAGAGGTTGGGCGGTTGTAGGAAGTGCGGGAATATGTGTTTCGGCAAGGTGCGCGTCTGGAATCTCCCGTTTATCTCTTGATTACTATACCTTCTCGCAGCATACGGGTTGTCAGCGCAGTCTCCCACATTCATCACTTGCTACCTCTGCCGATCGTTTCTTGCTTTTGTTGCCATGTTGAATGTTTCACTGCCGCTGCTTTCAACCCCGGCATGTTGCTTTGCCACGGTGTGCGATGGACTTGTCCAGCCGTGGGGTCAGGGCAGCCTTACGCCCTAGGTGAGACTGTGGGTTCACGTTGACAAGTGACCGAGAATTTGTTTTTCCAAGTCGCGAAAATATAACCAACAATGTGGCGTTTGTGTGTCTCCAGCAGTAGCGGCGTCTGGTGCCGACTCCGCGATTGGACAAGTAACGGTTCCCGCTCACCAATCAACGCTGACAAGAGCCAAAAGGTCACAAGTTATAGATCGTAGTGGAGAGCGTCACATTCACACAGCAGTAGAGGACACACCGTACGCAATGACGCTGTGCACCTCTCCAACCACGCTTTCGGGGGCGAGGATATGAAGCAAAACCGACGGTGCACGATTCCCCTATTGGATCTGATCTATCGTTCGTGTTTTTAAGTGGGTACTCGTGGCACGAATAAATAGGCATCGGTGATTAGTAGCCGGGGGCCAGGATTCACATGTACGTCGTAGTCTAGGAGGAGAAAGACGTTTCTACAGGTTAAGGCGGTCGGAAGAGCTCGGAAAACCTACTACATATTTTCGTCTAGTCTCTTTGCGCCTTCCTGGTCGGACTGCCGCCGTAGCCCTTAATCGCAACCGCTCTCTCGCCCCCGTCTGCGCGTTGTCGGCTCTGTTTTCAGCGGCCGCGCGAGCTCTCTCTGGGCAGGAAGACCTCAGCGCGGAGGAGGTAGCCCGCAAGTCGATGGAGGTGCGTCAATCTCGCCGACGTTGACGTTAATTGTTGTTGGCGATGTGGGGAGGTCGCGTAGATTATTCTGCATACACAGGAACCCCCTTGTGTGACCACGGATTGAAGTTCCTGCCCTGCAGAAACGCGGTGGGCGCTGATTTATGGTTTTTGAAAAGGTATGCATGTGGTTCTTGAAGTCACACCTGTCCTTGTTTGCACAAAATATCGAGGTTGCCTCCCTTTTACGAAGCTGTCTCGTTCGTTGAAACAACAAATGTTTTCCCTCCAGGTTGTGTAGTGATGTCATGGGAGCAAGAATTGTGGTTCGAGGGTGTGCTTCACTCTCGGACCAGTAACCGTTCATGTCTCCGGCCCACGTACACCCTTTGATGACCGGCAGATTGCATCGGAGCTTTGCGTGTACACTAACAACCACTTCACCATGCACTCGCTGGACGTGGAAGAGGAGGAGAGCGAAGCATGAGTAGCAGGGCGCGTGACTAGGGAGGGAAGTCCAGGCGACGATGTTCTCGTTTCCATGTAGGCCCTTGGCGAGAAGGCCACTCGCGGCAGCAGCCTTTTTGGTCGAATGGGTTCATTCGGCGGCATTTTGCCTTGGAGACAAGGAGACGACACCGATTTGAAAAGGCAGCGTTGGGCCTCGCGTTTGACATGTAATCAACGATTTTGGGGGCTGGAGGTAGCAATGAAGATTGAAGATTGCTGAACATGACCATATTTCGACCTTTGGGCGGCGGAGGATGCAAGTGCCTCATTCCACTTGCTGCGGGCGGTGTTCACGTCCCCCCTCAGTGGCCGTTTTGTCGTTCGTGGTGGTGGCGACGGCACCGAAGGGTTATCCCTCAAACGGTAACCACCAACCCTGTCACCCTGCGAAGCGCTGTTTCAAACTTTGGGGCGGGAGGATGCTGGGTGAAGTGTAGCGTGCAAGTGCAGTGAGCTCTTTTCAGCTGTGATACAGTAGTTCACTTTCAGCACTTTTATATGACTCCATGAAAGCGCAGACACAGCTGCGTGGTTTGGGGGCCATCGCGAGTTTCATTTCAAAGGTTTGGTGTGCGTCAGAAATGGGACACACGACGTCACCGGTTATGACCGAGCAAGTGGGAGTTGCACCCGACATGCTTTGTGTCTGGCTGCTACAGTAGCACGCGACTTGCTAGTTAGATTTTGACTATTGGCAGGACACCGGGTGGTTATGTCTTTGTGCACAGGACTGCCTTGGTTGATCGCCTCATCGGGTCAATACAACACAACCGCGGCGGGGGCAAACGGCCGAATGACGACATGCAGTCATCAGTAGGGATTTCCCCCCTTTTTCTGCCACTCGACATTACTCTACATCGCAATACAACCCCCCTTTTTACTGGGAGTTGTTGGGTTTCATCTGATGAAGTGTGGGCACACTCAACCCCAGAGCTCGTCTCCAACCAAAAGCTCCACCTGCCCACAGCGAAACGAACTCAGCGGGTGTCGGTTTGGTCGTCAGCTACATAACGCGGACGACCACATTGACTTCTCTAGGAACATACATGTATGCATATATAGCATACACAATCACAGAAGAGGATATAACGACCGTGCCTTTGAGATAACTCTCATCTAGGAGGTGTGTTGAAGCCTTTACAAAGCACAGTGCCTGGTGGATACAGAGCCTGTGTGCTGATGCTATGCTAACAATACTATGCACATGTACTTCAAAAAATATTGATGTGCACAAGCAGCAAGGTGTGTGCATTACTGGAAACTCAGAGCGAAAGAACCCGAACTGCAGGTTTCCTGAAACCACGGCGCCCCTCCCAGCCTAGCAGCTTGCTGCTGGCTTGCTTGGCACTTGCAGCCGCGACACCCACTTGTTGGAAGCATGGGGGATGGTCATGCCACGTGCGAACGAGTCCTCTTCGCTGAGAGGGAACAGGTCATGGGAATGCTTCAACAGCTGGTGGCTACGGACCTCGATCTGGCAGGTGGGTGTATCAAGCAATGCGGCTAATACAGCATACAGCAGTGTAGCAACGGCAACGTGTTTTTCGATCGACAACGAGCTTGTCGGCTAAAGGCCGGAGTAGGGTATACAGGCAAGAGAGTAGAGGATTGGCTGCTGATGTGCTTGTAGGTGCTCTCGCTGGTTGTTGCATCTCTCTCGTTCCCTTCCTCCAAGGTGTCTGAACCACAGCAGTATTCAAACACGGCGGTGGATACGGATCCTCACCCTTCCTCCTTCCTCGCAGATTCAGCTTGGCTGTGGTGGGTACCGCAGCACGAAATGCTTTCGAGGCAAAGAGGGGGGACTCTGTAGTATCGAAGCACTGGTGTCTGGCTTCAGAAACTGCGGAGGTGTAGGTCTTGGTCGGTAGGTGCAGCCGTCGACGATCCGTGTTGTCCCAGCGACACCTTGCACAACTTGCTTGTGTAAGGCAAGAGAGATAGCCTGTAGCAGGTTTGGCACAGCATCTAAAGTACCTACTCCAACTCGGTCATATCTTGTTGCCGAGATGAAAAGACCGCAAGGCTGCTTGATTCCACCGCACACCTACACACGCAAGATGCACGCGTAGTCTCCACACATGTATGCGTACACATCAATCTAGAGGACGCCACACGTGCGGCGACTGCATTGATCTGCTGTAAGTTCAAGTCTCGTCCAAAGCTTCAGAGAGTTGTCGGGTAGAACTCCAGCAACCTTTCCCAGCGGTTGAGCGCAGGGATGTATTTGGATGTGATGCAAAGGCTATTTGTATGTGATGCAAAGGCTATTTGTATGTGATGCAAAGGCTGGCTGTAGTGAAGGCTACGCTCACAGGCGCGTTGGCAGGGGCAAGCAGGAGCTAAAAGGTCAGCTTGCATCGGTGCGCTCAGGCCTAAACCAACAGCGCTGCACTAGATGTGACGCCATTGAGCAACACAAGCACGTTTCCTGTCCACTCGACGCTCTCACGTCATTGAGCAACACAAGCACGTTTCCTGTCCGCTCGGCGCTCTCTCCCGTCCGGGTTTCCAGGTCGTGAAGGCACCCTCAAGGCGGTCAAGGGGGCGCTCGAAAAGTACCTCGAGCAGCCACACCTGCTGGACCCCCACCTGGAGGACATGATGGCAGTCGTCATGGGCAGGGCTAAGGAGTTGGTGGTTGAGAGGGAAGAGCAGGTGCTGGCGGAGTCTGGCGGCGGCAGCAGGGGACGGCCTGGGGAGGCCTTTCCTTTTCAGGTGAGCTGTACGGGCGGGGGCGTCTGCCGGTGTTGTTGTTTCTTTTTTACTTTTTGCAAGACGCTTGTAGCTCTGATTTCCCCCAAGCCCTGCGTATTGCCCTAGAGTAGAGACGGCCGGCGTAACGCCGCGGCACCATCGGCTCTAAAAGGTGAACGCGCGGGTTATGTGTGGCCGTATTTTTGACGGTAGCACGCCTCGGGGCTGAGAGTCTCCAGCTGTTCGTCTGCTGTGGAGAAACGAGGGTTGTCGCCCTGGACCGTTACATTTCGACACCAGTGCGTGTAGAATCGAACCCGTTGCATGAGCATGACCAGTATTGCGCAGTTTCATCATGACGTAAGGTTGACCCCCTCGAGAAACGCTAGCCGTTCCACACACGCCTTTGGTGTTGCGAAAAACAACGGTGGTGTGATGGGCATGCAATTCCTCAAGGATGTGGCAGGAAAAATGTTTCCCCCGCTACCGCCCACCAACCCTTGGTTCGTGCCACGCGGCCCCTTTGCTTGAAATTCATTCGCCGCGACCTGCATGAAAACAGGTGTTCATTTGCCCCCAGCTCCACTCGATGTTCTGCGTGATCTACCAGCTGTGCCGGGTGAGGGGAGCAAAGGCGGTGGTGCGCCTGATGCCTCACGAAGCGGCCGACCTGGAGCCGGTTATTCACGCCTTGCAGGCTCAGGTGAAACCCATTCTTGTGTGTTGCTTTATGGCAGCGGCAGCAGTCTTCAATACTTGCCTTTGATCAACAGCAGCGAACGAAAACATCACAAGAAGCGCAACTTTGACTCAGCACTGCTCATGCACATGACAACACTTTGATCAAAACCCAAACAGCTATGGCATGCAGGCGCTCAGCAGTGCTTACCAATTGGTCGAAACCGACCTCCCGTCAATGGGTGCTACGTATTTCGGTTACGGCTAGGGGTAAATACAAGAGCGTACAAGACCCAGTGCCTGGCTGCGTCAGTCATTTCTTTCTCGACCAGAATCGCAAGGCCGCTTCCAGGCGCTCCACGGTCCTGCAGCTAGACGTATCTCATGCTCACCCCCAACAAACCCTCAGGACACCGACGACTACTCCACGTGGGAGACCCGCTACGGGCTGTTGCTGTGGCTCTCCATGCTCTCGCTCGTGCCCTTCGACATCGACACCATCGACTCCGGCCTGCGGGATTCGGTGCCACCGGGAGCGGGCGCAAACGAGGACGGGGCCAAAGGGGTGGTTGCTCCCGTGGCGGGAGTCGGGGAGAGGCAGGCGGACCTAGTCGGGACGATTCTTGCGCTGGGGATGAGGCATCTCGGCGACGCCGGACCGACAAGGTTTGAGTGACCTACGTCGATGCAGGATGATGCCGTAGGAGGTGGTCGTGACGGCTGCGCAGTTTCGTCCGTGCTGTGTAGTTGCAACCGCGGCATTTTGGTGTCATTACGAGAAGAGGAACGAGAAAAGTGTGGCGCTGGGGGGGCGTACAGCGTGCGGTATCGCGTTTTTGGATCCATCCTACTGCTGCTGCTGCTGCTGCTGTGAATCCGGAGCACACGGTCAACAGGAAAACATTCGTTCCTATGCTTTGCCTCTCGATTCTCTTGTACAACGCCATTCTAGTTATTTTGCGTTGTCGGCGAGCTTGTTTAGTTCTCGGGTCTCGTATTTTTCCTTCTCTCCTAACGCCATTTTTTTTGCCATGGCAACTTGTGCCCGGACGCCAGGGATGCCGCAGCGGGATGCCTAAGCAGTCTTCTTACGCGCCCGGACATGGAGGCCGCTCACCTGCGGCGTTTCTTGGAGGTACGGGGGAGCCGTTCGGCAGCAGAGAACACGAGATCTTCAATGAGCAGTGTACAGGCAAACACGTTTGACTGCTGCTCGGTTGTTGAGTGGAAGTACCAACTCAGCCATATCAATTTGGGATGCTTATTTTGAACGAGGGGGCGTCTGTGCTCAAGCCTTCCTCGTGTGGTGGTCGTGTGGTGACGTCATAGCCATCTCTAGTTTTTCTTCTCGGCTTCCTGATGTTCTCTCTAGTCTGCGCGTTACCGACTTCGTTTCGGCTGCAATCGCACATGATTCCCGATTTTGTGAGGCGCTGTCTTTAATGTTCCACGAGTTGTACCTGACACGTGCCAGCGTGGGTGGCGTGAGTTGGGAAGCTACGGGGACTATCCAATTTTAATCCGGAAGCGCTGTCGCAACGCGTCGCTGACCTCGGAACGCGACTGCTCTTCAACCATGCAGGCGCCCGTCCAGTGGTAGCTGGCCGACAGCTGTTTAGTGAAACGCTTAGATCTGTGTCTCTCGCCGACAAGCATCGAAGCGCCAAAGCGCTGATTTCTGTGCTCCAGCGGGCTGCTGTGCGTCAAAGTTCCCACCTCTGAACGAACGCTGCATTCGATCGCTTCGCGTATTTTTGTTCTGTGGTCTGGCGTGGGTGCTACAAGTGGTCTGCGTCTGTGCTGGAGCGGGTGACGGCGGAGGGGCGGGCGGGGGAAGAAGGCTTGAGCAAGCTCGCCTTCTTGGTGATGGGCGTCATGGCCACCCTGGCTGCGCTCTTCAAGCAGGGGCACAGGTTGGTTGGTTCTCCTTCCCGTTAGTGTTTTTGGGCGGTGGTGCGGGTGGGGTTGTCCGTTCTCTTTTATTGCGCTGTTGACCTAGCGAGCCGAACTGGGTATTAGGCATAAAGCAGTGGTCGTGGGGGTACCCGAGCGCTCGTTTTGCGCTGTTGAGGTGACGAGCCAAGCTGGGGGTTACGCTGCTGGCGGTGGTCGTGGTGGTACCCATGCTCTCGTTAAACGCTGTTGTCGTTGTGAGCCGAGCCGGGGGTAAGAAGCTGGCAGTGGTGGTGGGGATACTCCGCGTTCATGTAGCGCTTTCGTCCTGGCGGCGGGCTGAGCTGGAGGTCACACAGCTCGGGCGTCGGTTTTCGAGATCGCATCAGGGGTCGGAAATATTGTTGGGACGGGCAGATGTGGCCGCCGCGTGGTCGTGCCATCTCAACGAGGCGTGCACGCCGTGGGGAGTACGGGGTGCTCGATCCATACGTTGTCGGAGAAGAAAACGCGCGTGCGTATGTATGTACTGTAGCAGCAGCGCCCGCTCCGCTCTGGCCGAGGACTTCCTTTGGTCAAGTTTGTCTGGCGTGGGATGGTGACGTCACCGATATAGTGCCGCGGCGCTTTGTTGTCCGGCAGGGAGAAGCTGATCGACCTCATTCCGGTCGTTTTCTACCCCGTGGTTGGCCTGGCGGAGCTGGGGCCGGGGCAGACACTCCTGCGCAAGATGCTGGTGAAGCTTTTGCAGAGGGTGGGGACGACATACGTGCCCCCGCGCGTCGTCGCGTGGAGGTACCGCCGCGGACAGCGGTCTCTGCTGCAGGTGCGTGGTGGGAGCTTCTTGGGGGGGGGGAGGATCCCCGCAACTGTACTCTGTCGTTGACCTCCCTGTCCATGTGTGACTCTGCCCTCGTCTATCGTTGTGGATACAGACCTGCCTTCGTGCGCGGTAGTTATGTTCCGGACCATTTTGACATTCCCGTTAGGGCGCACAAGACTGACCTGGCTGAGCCTTCTCAAACATCCTTGCATCTCCGGGCTTTATGTGTTCCTGTTCTCCCCTATGCGCGTAGAATCTCGAATCTACACCGGACGCAGCATCCGATGGTGGAGACTGCTGTCAAGACGAACAACAGGCGGCAAGCGTGGAGGAAAAGCCATTGGAAAGACAGGAAGGGGAGACTGTGGAGGCGGGGGGGGGCGAAGGTGATGCAGAGGAGAGTTCTGCTGGGGGGGTAGGGGTAGCGCAGGACGGGCCTCCGGCTCAGGTCAAGGTGGACGCCACCGAGGTTGACGTTGTCGCAGAGGAGGAAGAGGAGGTAGACGTCCCCGAGGAGCTGGAGGACATCGTGGAGGCGCTGCTGTGCGGGCTACGGGACAGGGACACGGTGGTGCGGTGGTCCGCAGCGAAGGGGATTGGGAGGATCACCGAGAGACTCCCGCGCGAGCTAGGTACAGTACGAGCCAATTCGTGAAAACGTCGTGGGTGGTGTGTAGGTGCGCCGAGCCTTGCGCGGGGGGCGGGGGTGGTGTTGCCGTGTTTGTTGAAAAATTGTTGTGCGTTTTGGGGTTAGGAGGTCAGCTCTTTTGGTGCCCACGGTCTCCGAGCAAGACCTGACGATCTTCGGTGCTCGGAAGAAACGGAAACAGCCGGTTTCTTCCAACTCACTGCAATGACTTCAACACATCCCCTTCGACTGTGATATTGTCTGGAACGGGTGGTCTTTCTGTGAAGATTATGCGTGCTTTCTAAGAACGGAAACAGCCTCGTTGAAATATCCCCTGAAACTTCGATTCGCGTGAGTACCGCGCACGGTGTGGCGGGCATCTCCGGGCCGCGCCACTGCTGTGGCTTTTGACGCAGTCGGCTGCTACTGTTGTGTCGCCCTCGTCTTTCGACACTCACAATCTCTCGGTCGCCCCGAACCCGGCCTTTCTCTATTTTTTTGTTGGACCGCACCGTACCGCAGCGGACGACGTGGTGTGCAGCGTGTTGGACCTGTTCGTGGAGGCGGAGTGGGACGGCGCCTGGCACGGCGGGTGCCTCGCCCTGGCGGAGCTCGCCAGGTGACAACAGTGATGCGTGGCTGCTTAAGACCGCGCCGGTATGTGTGTTGCCTTCTCGGCCCTTTCCCGTGCACGTTGCGCTTGTTCTGTGATTTGTCGGTTGGCGCGTGCGGTGTGCGCTTAACCTTACATCGGTGTTTGTATCTGATTGGATGTTTGTCTGCCAGCCTTGTACCTGTCTGTCTCCGCGTCTGCAATTTAAGCATCGACTGCGCTAGCCGGCCGACCAATGAGAAGACGGCAAGTACCAGTAGCTGCTTGTCTCTGCGTCTGTAATTTTAAACATCGACCCCGTTAACCGGCTGACCAATGAGAAGACGCCAGTGTTGTACAATGTGTATGTGTGTGACGGCCGTGGTGCGTGCCGTGTGGGCGGGTCGTCGAATGTAGCGCGAACCACACCGAGGCCCGATCACAAGACGTGATCGCGCTCTCAGGCCGGCCGGTAATCCTTTTTGTCCTCCATTTTCTGCAATCGCTTCTGTTTGGCATCCTCCATGTAATCACGCCGTATCCCACCGCCACCGCCCATTGGTGCAGGCGAGGGCTGCTCCTCCCGGAGAGACTGCCGCGGGCCTGCCCCTTGGTGAGACGTGCTCTGGCCTACGATGTGCGGCGCGGGGCGGGTGGGGTCGGTGCCCACGTCCGAGACGCGGCCTGCTACGTCTGCTGGGCGTTCGCGCGCGCCTACTCTCCGCGGGTGAGGCGTTTTTTTGTGCTGAGCTGGGGGGACGATGACGCGAAGCCCCCCAGAAGTCGATGATTGGAACGGTGGATTGCGATGTCACTACACCTCTCAACGCCTGTCCCCAAGTTGCTACTGTCTGCGTTGATAGACTTCTCGCAGTATTTGGTTTGCATTTTTTTTTGTGCCACCTCAGCCAAGCTCCCCGTTGAAACCTTGACGCTGCCGTTCCTCCTCGCTCAAAGGTGCTCGGCCCCCACCTGCCTGGACTGTGCGACTCGATGCTGTCGACGGCGCTTTTCGACCGGGAGGTGAACGTTCGTCGAGCGGCGGCGGCGGCGTTGCAGGTATGGGACCCCCCTCGACCCGACCTCCTATAAGCTCGTAGACCACCGCTGTGATAGCAATTATGAGAGTCGCGTGTGTCGCCATGTTGCGGTGACCACCATCCCGTCGAGCGGAGGCAGCAGCATTGCAGGCGAGGGATCCCCCCTGGCCTCTGAGTAGCTCGTAGATCACCACTCCGTGTGATCCTCCGTTAAGTGCCCCGAGCGATCGATGCCTCCCGTCAGCGCGTGACCCTGCTCCCTCCTCCTCCTTAGTTCGTTCGTCGTTGTGGTGTACCCGATGGATTCACTCATGTACCCTCTTTCGATTCACTTGTATTTCCTCTCCATTCGCTCATGTACCCTCTCCATCCACTCGCGTACCCTATCGATTCACTCGTGAGCTCTGTCAATTCACTCGTGTACCCGCTCCAGTCACTCGTATGCCTTCTCCATTCACTCGTATACCCTCTCCATTCACTCGAGTACCTTTCCATGCACTCGTGTACCCTTGTACCCTCTCGATTCGTTCCTATTTCCTCTCCATTCACACGTGTACCGTCCTGGCGTACCCTATCGATTCACTCGGGTACTCTCGATTCACTCCGATCCCCGCGTCGGATTCGCCCTCCTTTACAGGAAAACGTGGGACGTCAAGGGCAGCAGCAGTCCGGCGAGGACGACGGCAGCGGCTGGAGTGACGGAGGAGGCGGTGGTGTAGCCCACGGGATAGACATCATCACGGCGGCCGACTACTTCTCCCTGGGCAACAGGCAGCAGGCATACCTCAACATCGGCAAGACTGTGGCCGCCTTCGACAGGTGATGATGAACGAGGAAGCGTCGTCGCACGTGAGAGCCCAGTGGAGAGATGGAGAGATGGAGACGGTTTTTTTTTCCGAGGCGTGATCGCTAGGGAAAGAACTAGCTCTAAGGCCTGTCGCTGACTCGTGATGCCAGAGGGTAATGGCGGCCTGGCGCCTGTGCATCGACTCCCTCTCTTGACCGGACGAATTTACAACGACTGGCAGTCTGATTATGTTGCCCTCCGTCTCTGCGAGAGTGCTCAGCTCCCACCCCCCGTTTTTTTCGTGAAACCCACCGCCGATTCCCCCCCCCCCCCCTCTCTCTCTCTCTCTCCCTCTCCCCCTCTTCCCCTTTCTTTCCCTCCCTCTCTCCCCCCCCCCCCCCCCCCCCCCTCC